TCTAGAAGAAAGAAGGAAACATAAACAAGTGATCTAAACCTGATCGTGAAAGATGGACTTTGGTCTCATGGTTCAATGGTCAGTATTTGGAGCTACTACTAGGGAGTTATGACAATTTAATAGATTGCTATTACTCTTCAGAGATGTTTAGAAATAAAGCTTTTCAGTTCATGCATTGTAAGGACAAGTTCCAATTTTAATTTATTTTAATAATAATGAAGTTTTAGTTTACGTAGTTGTCTTAACCTATTTCCTTGCAATGACGTTAATGAAAACATTAGTTATGTTTCAAATAATAGCAATATTAATTATGGATTTGATTCTTATGATATCGATTGTGGTAATGTAATAATTGACCAACTGAAAAGAAATAGCATCACCCATTGGATAGATACTTGGTGTTATACAAGTCGTATTGTTGGAAATTATAACTTAATTCATTTTTTACACGCATATGTGAGGCAAGTAAATGGCTAATGAATTTAGTATATGTTAATATGGACTACTTAGATCCACCACAAGGGACGATAACTCTTTTCGTCATGATTTACTATGTTTCAATAAATATGGTTTTGTTTATAAGATTAAACAAAATTCTAATACTTTTAAAAATTTCATGATTAATAGAACGAACAGAAGAATCTATTATGAAGAAAGATAAAAGATTCTCCACTCTGGAAAGAAAGGAGAATACTTTGGTATCATGATTTATGATCATATTAGTAATTTTAGAATTGTATCATGATTAATCCTCCAAGAACATCTTAGTGAAATTGTATGACTAGGAAGAGGTATCGAACATTATAGAAAATGGTTCGATCATAGATTAGTCATACTTTGTTCCAATCAAGTTTAAGAGCCATGATCTAGTAACTATAAATCTTATTTGAAACTCATTTCAAAACTAAGAAGGATGTTAACACCATGTAACATGTGGAGTAATAATGTTATCTACTCTAGCGCATTTAGAATTGGATTTTTGATGTTTTCAATTGGTCTAACACAAGAGGGAGATGGTAGTGTTGCAAAGAAATGTGTAACACCCTATTTCGAATCGTTTCCTACTTCGGGGCTTTGACCCAAAGATTAGTTATCGTAAGTATAACATCTCGATGATAAGGTAATTCATATTCCAACCCTTTAATTCATTTATATTGGATTTTGGTCCCAAAGTTTAAGAAATGTATGCAAAAAGGGCCTTAATGGCATATTGGTAAATTAAGGCTTCGGAGTACGTCATGCGTACGTGGTGTACGTTGAGCGTACTACGGTGCATCCTAGTACGTTGGTCGTACATCATTGTACTCTAGGCGTACTTGCTAAATGAGGAAACCCTAATTTTTGTAACATCCATAAAAATCATGCCAAATTTAAACTTTTTAAAACATTTAGAAACCAACAGTTGTTACCAATTTGTTTTCAAAATAGTTCTATATCAAAGTCTCCCATAAATAAAATCATAAAAAGTGAGGAGCTGTACGATTACGTATTTTCCTTCCCGCAATCATCTGTGGTACCTGAAACCAAAACTGAAGTTGTAAGTCCAAAGCTTAGTGAGTTCCCCCAAAATACCGATACACAACAAATAGCACATATAAAAATAACATGTAATGGATCCACAACTTTACAGACTGGATTACCCTTGGGCCCACAATATGAGTCTGGCTTGCCTTCCGGGTCTACAGCTCACATCTGGCTTGCCACTGGGCCTACAGTACGAGTTTGGTATGCCCTGCCCGACCCTCAGCTCGTATATGTAATGCTCATGAGCCTACAGTACGATTCTGGTATACCAAACAGACCCTACATCTGATATGATCCTACCTGGTTGTTCCTTACTTGATAGATCATGAAAGTAGACTTTGAGTTAATGATGAATGTAGACTAATAATTAGTCGCAGTAAAGATTAGACTAAAACTTAGCGATAATAATGCTAGGTTTCATCGAAGGAAAATATAATCGTTAAAAGCGAAGCGCTGCCTGTGTTTGGAATCACCACTTTAACAAGTGAAGGCATAGTTACATTCATCTTACACATAGATATGAAGTATTTAATATAAATTATATGTCGTGAGTGCATAATTACTTTCATTTTACACATAGATATGAAATATTTAATATAAATTACGTGTCGTGAGTGCATAGTTACTTTCATTTTACACATAGATATGAAGTATTTAATATAAATTACGTGTCGTGAGTGTATAATTACTTTCATCTTACCCATAGATATGAAATATCTAATATAAATTACATGTCGCGAGTTCATAGTTACTTTCATCTTACACATAGATATGAAATATTTAATATAAATTACTTGTCGTGAGTGCATAGTTACTTTCATCTTACACATAGATAAGAAGTATTTTATATAAATTACGTGCTACGTGTGCATATTATCTGTATACTTGCTATCTATGTTGGATGACGATTTTATACATCTTTTAAATGATTTAAAATGTATATGTATTTTATATCTACAAAATATGTTGAGTAAAACATAGGTAGATTAGAGATGAGATAAATGATGAGCGATGAAAGATCAGATGAATGATGAGCGATGATATATTAATGGTAAATTATGGTAAGAAGCGATGACCTAAGCGATGACCCAAGCGATGGCCCCGTCATCTAGCAGAGTATGGATGACAACCACTGACTATTCTAGACAGTCCAGTGGAACACTAGCAGACTCGCAACCTGTAGACTATAAGACTTAGTACCTAAACCCTAGTGACTATAAGACTTAGTGTATGTCGAGTAAACCCTGGAAATGATGGATTTCATGTTAATTCCTTAGAATGATCCTGAAGAATGAATGAACGAGGAATAGCTGAATCTTAGGGTAGATCCTTAAGAGTAAATAAGATAATGGGGATGGGTAATTTGGTTGATTGTTTGATGTTTAACATAATAATAATTATATTATTGTGGGTTGAAAACCCTATGTACTCACCAGGTTTCCCAACCTGACCTACTCAAACTTATTTGTATCACAGATGTCGATATGAAGCTACTTTACACTGAGGGATTTAAAAGAGATGTAGATCACTAGTGTAAATGAATGTAAGTTCTATTTATGCTTATGTTTTTGTATTGACGGTGACATTCCAAATGTTTTAAAATGGATAAAAATACATTTCTTCGGAAATGCTTTGATAACGTATTTATCATGTTTTTCTGGGAACAAATTCTGCAACATATTTATTAAAAGAGATACTTTGATTTTTATAAAGCATAAACAAAATCGGTCTTTTCTGACCGTAAAAATGAGGATGTCACAGAAAACCCCCACACCTAAGTAGTACGTTGTTATTATGTATAAAGTTGATTATAAACAAAAATACATTGTTACTATGGTTTAAAAGATAGGTAGTTTGTTGGTAATATTGATTAAAATGGTAATAAACAAAAGTACATTGTTATTATGAATTAAAAGCTAAGTAATATGGTGTTATTATGGATTAAATTGATAAGAAACAAAAACACATTGCAATTAAAGTTTAAAGTTAAGTATTTTGCTATAATTATAAACTAAAGTACATTACTATAATAAACTAGAGTATATTACCAGTATAGTTTAAGAGTTAAATACATATTATAGTATACTAAAGTACATTAATATTATAGTTGAAGTATCAAATTGTGTTACCATATTGTAGTTTCTAAGGTTGCATGAGGAAGTTTCTAACATGCGATAATTACTACAACAAATTCAAGATCAAATGTAAATGTTTTTGAAACAATGGAGCATGCCCGGTAATTAATGTCGTAATCCACCCGATAATCTACCCAATGACATTTCTTAGTTTTTTAGAAAATTGACAATTGTGTAAACACTTGGCATTGTTTTCTTCTGTGTTATTACTTAGCTGGTATGGAACAATTGAGTAAAACTTAGTATTGGGACACTTTTTGTGTATTTTCACACTTTAATTGTAATGTTTAGCTATGTTTGTGTTTGAATATGAATACTTTCAACTTTTGAGTATTAGTTTTTTTTAACATACTGACACAAAAAATGGAAATTTTAATATTATCCATTAAAAAAAATCATAAATACTAACGGATTATTGACGAAAGGTGTCAAAGAGAGTTCAACTTTTGTCGTGGACAAAATGAATAGTTTAGGAGTAGGTTTAAATGGGGGTGTGTGTGTGTATGTGTGTTAGTCGTTCAAAAAAACTAAATCAAAGAGAGTCAAACATGGTTTGTCGTTAAAGCGTAGCTAATCCGTCGATAAAAACATGTTGTTGGTATTCAAGTCAAACACAATCAAAGAGGCATCTGAAAGCATAGTTGACCCGTCGGTAAATTAGCAATTAAATCGGTCGTCGATATTTTGTAGATTGATTGTCACTAATCCGTCGATACATATTATCCACAACCTTAAACCCAACGGCCTAGATTCCATCAACAAGCCATCGGTAAAGGCTATCACCGACGGAATATCGACTGATTATGCTGTCAGTATTTCCCACTATTTAGTGTGTGTGGCCGTAGTGAATGAGGTGTAACCAAACTCTTTTAAAAGCCAACATCTCAATGCGTCGTTTTTAATTAGAACATCCATAATAGTGAGTTCAATGAAAAAGTTGAATCATGTGATAAGTCTAGTTGTTATTCAATTGATGAAACTCTATCATTGTGAAATAAAACATTGACATTCAACGGATTTAAAGTTCAATAACTATTAAACTCTTCACCGGGAAAAAAGAAAGTTTTATAATTCTTAAATAAATATTATAAATTAGTTTTGGTTATATTCCTTTGAATTTTATAGAACTAAGAAAATATTGATAGAATTGTATAGAATATAAAGAATTATAATGTGTCAATTTATTGAAATAGGTAGAGTTAAATGTATTATGAATGCCTAAATGTATTATGAATGCCCTTAAAGTCTCTCATTTTTTAGTTTTTCATGGTCTTGATAAGAGAAAAAATCTTACGCAACAGACAGCAGACAAGACTAGGAAAATCACGTTACTAACAAATGAATTCTTCCATGAAACTTACATTTTTACCTTACAGAGGAAATTAAACTTGGTTACGTCAGGGAATGTTGAAAAACTACTAATTGCACATTTGTACCATGCAAATCAACGAAGCAAAAATCACTCAAGATGGTATAGACCAGCCTATATGAGCCTTGAAAATTCTACCTATATGGGCCCAATACCACATTTATTAAACTTTTAACCCAAGAATTTATTAGTTAAATTCAGCTCGTTAAAATGCGCTTCAAGAACGACCAAGAACCTCTTACATGTATGGAGTATGAGGCTACTATTTGTCTTCAGCAACTGCCGAATCCCAACCATTCTGTCGATACACACAATTATTATACACAAGAGTGATACCCAAGAGTACGCATACATCAAACAATAATGGTACAATGCTACGAGTAAAAAAAACAGAAAATCACTAACTTAATACCTTTAAAATTTTGCGAACCTCTCCATATATATACTTTTCCTTCCTGCTTGCCCCTCGGTTGTTCAGCGTGTCAGGATCGGTTAAAATAAGAGATTTATGGTACTCTTCATGTGTATCTGCAGTGCTCCACAGACCTGACAGGGAGACCGGTTCCCAACCACTTTCGGGTCCAAGGATCTGTAAGTTCAAGATTTTAGTTAAAAATCTCGTTATCTAAATGAATCTGAGATATACATGATGTTCATCTCTGTTGTACACTTGTATCAAAAGTACATTATTTAAATAGGATGATTGTATACATACATATTGTAGGTTTGAGAGTAGATCACCCAAACACCGTTCTCTTCCCTTTGACCACCTTTTGATATCATCATCATGTTGTTCGCCTATACGCGTCAATTGGTTAACGAAAAGCTCTGCAAAAATGTGGTTCAATCAAGGTGATGTCGACAACTTGTTACCTAGAATACGAAGCTGATTTCGCTCTTCAGATATTTGTTTTTCTTTAATAGCCCTCTCTTCAGATTTGAAACTCACTAGACCCACCTGTTGACATACATTAATTATTACACAAATTAATTAAGGAGTAAACACAAGAGTGCTCATACGAGAAACTTAACATACATGAATCGTAGGTATACAGTATACTACATGCATACCTTTAACATTTCGATAACCTTACTACATATATACTTTTCCCTAGTGCTCGCCTCTCGCTGTGTCAGCTTGTTAGGACGGATAAGATAAATAGCTTTCTTATAGCTTTTTCGTACAGCATCAGAGTCGATCATATCTGTCGATGAAACCGGTTCCCAACAACTTTCAGGTTCAAGAATCTGCAAGTTCAAGAATTTAGTTAAAATAATAGTTGTCAAACCTAAGTCAACAAATGTCAACAAAAAAGGGGTAAAGATAAAAATAAATAATGTTGAATAAGATGGACATGTGACTGCTTTTTTTTTTTTTTTTTTTTTTTTTTATATTTCATTCTATTAATCAACATTAAATTTAAAATTTAAAATTTAAAATTTGAAAATTTTCATTTTAATTACATTAAATTAATAATATTAAAATAAAAATTAAAATAAAATTAATACAAATTATAAGATGATATAATTTCATATATTTATTTAAATCAACAATTATAATTTTTATATAATTAAAAAAATATCTTTTAATTAATAATTTATTTTTAAAAAAATGATTAATATATTTGAGTTTTATTATAAAAGTTTAATTAATTTTATAACTATGGTTTCCACGATTTATAAACTAGTAAAAAAAAAATAAAAGAGTAGCTCTCATTTAAAAAGTTGAGTTGTTATTGTCTCTAAGTAATTTTTTATCTACTATCTTTGTTCTATAACTACCAACAAAAATCGAATCTAAAGATAAGTAATTAGGCTGAAATATTTTTTCTTCCATATAACTAATAGTAATTAAAGAGAACAATCTATATATTACGGAAAAGATATACTTAATTACTAGTTGTCATATATAATGTTTTAGCACAAGTTTTGGTTAAGTTAAGTAGCTATGAAGCTTGTACAGACCTCATGTAGTGTTGAAAGCAGTGCACGCAAATTCCCTTCTTTTCCGCTTGACCACTTTTTGATCTCATCATCAAGATTTTCCTCTAATTGCTGAAATTAATACAATTTGTTACCAAAATGTAAGAAACAAAACTAAGGCATCAAAACGTTAATAATTTCTATTGATTCTAACTGATGTCATTACATTTCTCCCAACTTCTTCCTTTTGAGGAAGTAGATCTGGCTTCTCCAATTTTACTGCATATGCCGTTGACGATGATGTGGACTTCACATTATCTGAAAATACGACTTCTTTTTGTTCCTACGAACACCAACAAACAAGCTATGAGGTAATTAATGATCACTAAAACAAACTTTAAAAAACTTTTTTTCAACATGAAATTAATCCATTAGACGTATTGCTTGTATCACTTATGCATATTTTGGGTTAGATTGTTGTTTCCAGCCTTAATATTTCAATTGTTTTTCAAACGTTTGTTGATTTTAGAAGATACCTGATATTTGAGTGCAGTTTCAATCTTCTTCACGATCAACTCCATAGATGGACGTTCTTTCTGCTCTCTTTCCAAGCATTTATGCGCGAGTGTTATGAAGGTATCAAAAGAATTTTCTTCCATTTGTCGCAGTAGATTAACATCGATAACTGCATCCCTGATTTTCTCTTTAGAGGAGTTCTTCACAAACGCAGGTAGGGATCTTCGCATATCATCATATTTATAATCAACACAAAGCCTTGAACACAAAACTTCAAATAGCACCACTCCGAAAGAGTAGACATCGGATTCTTTTTTATAAAACGATGTTTCTATAAAAACTGGATCACAATAACCAAGAGTGCCTTTGGGATCAGAGAAAAGAATCGAGTGTTCTTGGTTGGCTGGACCATATTTGGAAAAGCCAAAATCTGCAATTTTTGCATTCCAATTTTCGTCCAACAAGATGTTAGCACTTTTGATATCACGATGTAGAACTCTTTGTTGACCTCCCCTGGGATTGTGAAGGTACTCCAAGCCACGTGCAGCCCCAAGACATATCTTGAGACGTTGACTCCATGTGAAGTTGGGGTCGTGTAGATGATTGTTGAGGCTATTCTTTGGAGCATACTCATACACAAGGATCCTTTCCTTACTTTGATAGCAGAAGCCGAGGAGTAAGATGATATTTTCATGTTTATATTTGGAAAGCAACATGATCTCTCTCCAAAAATCAGCGTCCCCTTGATTATTTGAAGGATTCAAGCGCTTTACAGCTGCAGCCATGGTTGAACCGTTGGATTGGATGAGTTCTGCCCTATACACCTTCCCAAATCCACCTTCGGCGAGGAAGTGGCTGTCACCAAAGTTGTGGGTGGCGTGTTGTATGTATTCAAGTGGAATTTGGAGCTTCTGGTATTCAATCATGAACGAGGACATTTTGTTTGTTGTCAAACTACAATGGCGCTTGTAATCGGAAGGATTGAGAGAAGTATATGCTAATGATACAATTTTTTTTTCAAGTAACATGATGTATTTAACATAATCGATGATAATTAGTCAACTCATCCCTCCTGCCCCTAACCATCTTGACAAAGAAAAAGAACATTGCATTTTTTAAATCGTTCTCTATTTATAAAATATAGAATTATATAAAACTGGTTGGCACTTCTTTTTAAAATTTTGTTATTAAAATATAGTTCATTGTATTGTGTACTTGGCTAATAAATGACACATGACATAAGATGGAATATAATTGACCATGTGGAGTTGATATGATTTTGAAATATAAAAGTATTGGAGACTTTTATGTGGTAATAGAAAATCGTTGGAGACTTTTATGTGGCAATTATCTATTGACTCAAATGTCATCGAGATGTTGACACTGTCGATTTACAACTAATACGATCAAGCTATGGGTGTGTTCGACACATAGCTTTTTGGAGCATCTAAATTCTTGTTTTAAGAAAAATAAAAAAAAAAAAGTTTCATTCCACAACAGGAGTTAATATGGTTGAGACTTCGAAGTGTGGTTGAGCCCATGTTTGGCCCTTTCCTTTTCATATTTTGGAAATTTTTACAACGTAGTTAGGGACTTTTTTTTTTTGCCTTTCCAAGAGACGAGTTTTCAAGAAGCAACAACCATCAATGTTTGATGTCTCCTCCAAAGCAAGAACCCGGAAATCTGTCACTTGTTTCTCTAAATTGAATTAGCCCTCTGTAGATAGGTTGCGGCTAATACTTCTACAATTACAAAACCATAATTTATATGAATGGAATCAAAGTTGAAGCTTGTGATAGATCGTTTCACCTTTTTTTTGCTCTTTCGTGCTTCTATTTACTTGTCTATTCGCTATCTAATGTTTCTATTCGCTACTGAATGTTTTTAGAACCGGTTTCAACGAGAATCGGGGACAAGAGCGGTTCACCGCCAGGTTTTATGTCAATTTCTAGACTGGTTCGAACTGGACGGTTTCATCAAAAACCGAGTTTCACCGGAGTGGTAGAACCGATAAAAAATCGTTTGAACCGATTTAATGGACTTAGATAGTTGGATTTCACTTAGCCCATTTAGAAAAACATTTCATTTCCAAAGAAATTGAATAGCTCAGTGGATAGGATATTCAAAGTATACAAAACTTGAAAGCCGACACACATAATTGTCAGATGTAAACCAACGGTTGAGCGACATTCGAAAGTGTTGAACGGGAACAGGTTATCATACTGGTTGAACTAAAAAACCAATTTCTAAATCGTTGTCGTCACCATGTATGTTATGGTTTTAGTATTCCAGTTTTTTTCTATTGTTTCCATCGTTGTTTTTGTTGGAAAATTTAGTATAATTATTTACATTTTTACTAACTTTGGACGTATATAATTATATACATATGTTGTATATATAACTAACTCTAAGTGGGTTTGTGTTCTCCTCCATGAGGACTTCGAAACGATATATTATCTGTTCAAAATGGAGTACATGTGAATGAGATATCGATACTCAAAGAAGGGAATTTGAGAATAAATTTAGCAAAAAGAGATGAATGTGGGAATGAGTCCCACATTGGTAGAAAGATCAAAATCAACAAGGTTTATAAGCTTGAATACATGTAAGGCTTACAAGCTTGTTTCTATGCTTTTACTACAATTTCTACCCACGCGCAAGGGGTGCAAATCTTGGATTTCGTAGACCAAAAACACCGAACCCGTGCATGGGCGCAACCGGCGAACACGAATGCAACTCTGAAAACTTAGGTTCGCATTTTTGCTAAACTTGACAGTTTTGGTCCCTATTTTGAATTATGTAACGGATGCATTAGTTACGTAATTAATGACATTTATTGGAATTAAATTCTCAATCAAATCATTAATTGTTTCCATAACACGATTCAAGTATAAAAGGAGACCTTTACCATCTCATTCAACACACGAATGAATATACTAGGGATGAGCAAAAGGACCGAACCGGTTGGAACCGGCCCGAACCGGACCGGAACCGGGAACCGGCTTCCGCCAAAATCAAGAACCGAACCGGCCTGACGGTTCTATCGGTTCCGGTTCTACCGATTCCCGGTTCCTATCGGTTCTTGTCGTGTCTTCAAATGTTGGAACCGGTCCTTGAAAAATAGCATTATACGGTTCCGGTTTTTGCCGGTTCTACCGGTTCCGGTTATATCGGTTCCGGTTCCTACCGGTTCCCGGTTCCAAAAATCCACAAAAATAACGTCCCGGTCCCGGCCCGACCGGTTCCATCGGGTTCCGGTTCCGGTACCGGTTCCGACCGGTTCCCCGGTCCATTTGCTCATCCCTAGAATATACTCTTCTTTCTCCTCCTTCTCTGTACTCCTGCTTCCGGTAATTCTTTCAGGCAAGTGAAATATCCGACAATACACCACTGTTAAGGTTGTTGTATCCTAGGAACAGATGGCGAATCTGTCTAAGGAAATCGAGTCCAACTTGAGCCTTAGCCACCACATTTTGCTACTAACATTTATTTACAGGAATTTTTCAAGAGGAAAACGAACTCCTTACACTAACAGCCTTAAATAGATTTATTCTTTGTTCTAAACTTTTCGTTTTTCTGTTCTTTTATTCTAAATCGATTTTGTATCGACTTTTTCCTATAATCTATTTAATTGTTGTTACGACTCTTTCAGAATGACTGGAACTCCTGCTGCTGGTGCTACCCCTGCTGTGAACCCGAATGCACCGGTTCCAAACATCATGCTAATCATGCTGAGAGACCTAAATTTTTTTTGGTATGAACTTCAAGAGGTGGCAGCAGAAGATGCTATTCTAGTTGACCACCTTGAACCTGGCTCGGTTCCTAACATAAACTGCTCCTGTAATTGTTAAGGGGCAGGCTAATGCTCAAATTGTGAATGCAGTAGGTGCATGGAAGCGTTCAGAATTTCTGTGCCGCAACTATGTGTTGAATGGCCTAACTGATGCACTTTACAATGTCTATTGTAAAGTTGCAACTGCTAAGGAACTATGGGAGTCTTTGGAAAGGAAGTATAAGATAGAAGATGCTGGAACCAAGAAGCATGTTGTTGCTAAGTTCTTGGAATACAAAATGGTTGACTCAAAATCTGTTATGAGTCAAGTCCAAGATCTTCAGGTCATCATACATGATAACAATGTAGAAGGGATGGATCATAATGAGTCATTCCAAGTTGCATCAATGGTTGAAAAGCTTCCTCCCGGTTGGATAGACTTCCAAAACTACCTTAAGCATAAGCGAAAGGAGAGGTCTGCAGAGGAACTGGTGGTGTGTCTTCACATTGAAGAATACAATCGAATGGCCTTGAAGAAAGGTAGTGAAGTTGAATCTTCTAAGGTTCATATGGTGGAAGCTGGTCAAACTTCCAAGAGCAAAAGCAAGGGACCTCACAAAGGGAAAGCAAAGGGCAAAAACCTAGGCCTTAAAGCAAGAACTTTCAAGAAGAAGTTCAAGTGCTACAATTGTGGAAAACCAGGTCACAAGGCTTCGGAGTGCCCGCAACCTAAGAGGGAAAATTGTCAAGCAAACATGGTGAATGATAACATGGATTTGGTAGCCATGATAACTGATCTCATGTCTATAGCTTTTGAAGTGAATCTCATGAATACAAATTCAAAGGAGTGGTGGATTGACACATGTGCTACTCGTCATGTGTGTCATGACAAGAGTGTTTTTAACACCTACAAGGAAGTTGAAGATGGTGAAAAGCTTTACATGGGAAATGCAGCTACCATGGATATCAAAGGTGTTGGTGATGTCATTCTAAAAATGACTTCGGGGAAAGAAGTGAAGCTTAGGGATGTTCTGTATGTTCCTGAACTTCATAAGAATCTAGTGTCGGGTGGTTTGTTGAACCAATTTGGTTTTAAGCTAGTGTTTGAGTCGGACAAGTTTGTTTTATCCAAAAATGGTATGTTTGTGGGAAAAGGATATGCCTTGAATGGCATGTTCAAATTGAAAGTAATGGTGACCAACAAAATGAATAAGGAAAGTTCTAGTTCTGCTTTTTTGCTTGAGTATTCAAATGCTTGGCATGGTCGCTTAGGACATGTAAATTACAACTTTATTAAGTGATTAATTAAACTAGACTACATACCAAAACTTAATATTGATGCAAATCACATATGCCCCCACATGTATTGAAGCCAAACAAACTAGATTATCTTTCCAAACAATCAAAAGAAATACTGAACCTCTTAATTTAATTCACACTGATGTGTGCGATTTAAAGTCAATTCCTACTTAAGGTGGGAACAAATATTTCATTACATTCATCGATGATAGCACAAAATATTGTTAGATATATTTACTTAAGATTAAAGATGAAGCAATAGACAAGTTTGTCTTATATAAAAATGAAGTTGAGAATCAACTCAACAAGAGAATTAAAGTGGTTAGAATTGATAAGGGTGGAGAATATGTTTCTCCTTATGCTGAATTTTGTGCAAAAAATGGAATTCGTCATGAATTCACATCATCCTATTCACCTCAATCCAATGGAATTGCTGAAAGAAAGAACCATACCTTAAAAGAAATGGTCAATGCCATGATAATTAGTTCGGGTGTAAACCAGTCAATGTGGGGGGAAGCTATTTTGTCGGCTAACTATCTTCTAAATAAGATACCTCACAAAGAAAAGAATGAAACACCGTATGAACTTTGGATGGGAAGAAAGCCATCATACAAGTACTTATGAGTGTGGGGGTTCCTCGCTAATGTTGTTGTACCACCGCCTAAGGTACAAAAGTTAGGTCCTAAATTAGTGGAGTGTATTCATTGGGTATGCACAAAGTAGTAGTGCTTATCCTTCCTTGTGCATGATTCTAAGAATCCTGAAATACACAAGAATACCATAATGGAATCAATGAATGCTTCATTCTTTGAAGATGTATTTCCTTGTTTGAACAAGGAGTTTGAAATCCCATCTTTACCTAACAACGAAGTTGTTCGAGAAGAAGAACAAGCTCAAGCTGAGGAAGAAGAGATAGAACT